CAACAAAGAGACATGGTCAAATTTTTCTTTCGGTTGAATGTCTGACTGCAACTCTCTGCATTCCATTTGAAAATTTGCAGGTAGAAATATAAATGACAACTGAAAATGGTGTAGCAAATATAGCAAAATTGTGATTATTTTGCTGCAAATCTTGAAATCAACTTTCAAATTCTTATGTTAAGACAGAAAGTAAAGCTGCATATTTTTAGCAGTTCACAGGACTGTGTTTAACCAATGTAACAAAATGAGTTAAATTAGTTTTCATAATTTGAGCTTGCCATAATTTAAGCTTCATTCTAAGCGCAGTATCACTTTGGAACTTCAAAAATGGAACTACGCATGGGATCATGAAAATAAATGCTAAAAAATACATGACATTAAAAGATTTTGTGAATCTACATTACTAGCTGTTCTGGGCCACATGTGGGCTCTGGAAGGTAATGGGAAGATTTCTGAATTGCTGCTCACAAAATGAAGCATCTTAAGAGAAAAAAACCAAAACCAATCTTGTCATCATTATTGATTTATGTTATATCAAGGATTAAGTGTTCAACTTTCACATGAAAGGTTTACTATTATCAAGCAGAGGACCAAGTTATTTTAGATAATTATGAATTAATTAAAATATTCATGGTCATTTGGGGTAATTCCAAAAATTGTTTTTCTCATTACTTTCTGAAAAACATTTTAACATAAAAATGATTACTTCATAGTTTTATATGAAAAACATAATGAGACTACTTATTTTTTTCAGGGGCAACTAATTGAATTAGTGCTATTTTCAGATGCAGTTACCCAATTGTGTTGTCAAACCCATACTGAAAAATTGAGTGAGCTTTATATTGTTTGGATTACAGTATGTTAAAAACCTCTATTTTATTCTGCCTATGTTCAGAATAATATTCAGGGTATTTATTACTTTATCTGCATTTAAAGTTAGGAAGTGCTGATACATTTGTTTAAGTCAGTTTTCTGGTGGGAAATGCTTTCAAGTGTATGAAATTAATTATGAAATTAGTTGTCAACAATTTAAAGTCTATTATTTTATTACATTTTTAATTAAAGGAGTATATATGTTAGCTGACATCAAACTTTGTTTTTTCTACATGACATCAGTGTTATAAGTTTTCTAATGCAAATTAGACAAAAGAGAAGCCACTTCTTCAGCTTCTTTGCACCACTCTGCGTGTTTCCTAATATGGCATGTTTATGTAGCGCCATGGCCAAGACTCCACGCATTCAAGGACAGCCATTGGCTCTCACACTTCTTTTTTTTTTTTAAGGCAGGATTTATTGAGAGGACAGAAAAGCTCCCACAGCGGGAGAAGACCCAGAGGGGTTGCCAGACTCTCACACTTCTTGCCCAATCTGCCCTGGAATACATCTGCAAGCAAGTGTGGTTGGTGCTTTAAGGTTAGCTGAGTGACAAATCCCAGATGCCATACCTTGTCCAACAGCTTATTTGCTGTTTGACCTCGGGCAAGTCAGTTCATCAGTTTTGTGTCCTTCTGAGGAAATTAAGTGTAATGATTATAGGAAACTTTAGCTCATTCTTTCTTGACAGAACCCAAAGGGTCTGTAGTTGGCTGGGTGTGTTAATGACCAGAGTCTCTCCTTTCTTGCCAGGACCCAACGAGTCTACAGTTGGGTGTGTTAATAACCAATCTTGCCTTGGCTTTGCCTCTGCAGAGAATCATGCGTATTAGTCACCAGAAGAACTGTTTTCTGTAATTTGATTCACCCAACTATTTAATTGATTTATTTTATCCTAATTAAAACTGCTTTCAAGTCAGAAACACAGTTTACTTATTACAAGAAATACACTTGCTGAAAATGGGCTAAAATTGGCTAATGATTGTTCAGTACATTTTCCCAGCAGAGAAATCTATTGAGAAACCAAGTAGAGATGCAAAGGTCAGAACAAAGGAATTTGATGGTTTTATGGGATATGGTGGTAACTCAGAAAGCCAAGTTGTGGAAGGGTTTTTCTATCAAGCTAGTCAGAAGCCTTAGAATCATCCCTGGAGGCTTTTAATGCATTAAAGAATCCCAGTGACTCATCCCAGGTTATTTAAGTCTTGGGCAAAACCAGGGTTACATCTGGCATAAGTTATGACAATTAAGATTTATTAAAGAAGGTTCTGAATTGTACCTAGACTTACATTTCCCCCCAAAGGTTATATTATGAAATGTTTCAAACATAAAGAAAAAAGGAACCATGAAGTGAGCATCCATGTCCCCCACCCACGCACATTGCTTTGCTTGGGATCCCATGTGTGTCTGTTCATCCAGCCTTCCTCCATCATGCTCTTATGTTTACACATTTCGGAGTAAGTCGCAGACATCAGTACACTTTAACTTTTTACTCTGAATTTATTTAAACATTTGAAGCCTCATATGCCTATCACTTAGATTCACCGACTACCCACATTTCTTGTTTTATCTCTTTCCCACTCACACTTTTTTCTTGAGTAGTTTAAACAGACATCATTTCACTCACAAATACCTACACTTCTAACATAATTTTGTCATTGAATATAACAAAATTCATTAGTTTATCAATACTTAGTCCTTGTCAGTTTGCTCTGATTATCTCAAAAATGTCTTTTTGCATTTGTTTTGTTTGAATCAGGATCCAAATAAGGTCCAAATATTACAATTGGTTATGTCTCTTAAATTTCTTTTAATTTTGTAACATCCTCTCCCTTGATTTTTGCATATCATTAATTTGTTGAAGGAATTGGATCATTTGTCCTGGAGAATTCACATGCTCTATTTGGCTGGTTCTAACCTCAAGGAATGGTTTAACCAGTTCCTCTTTCCCCTGTATTACCTGTTAATTGGTGACTAGATTACATTCCAGGCCAGTTATTTTGGCAAGATGTCCTGGTGGTCAGTGATGTTAAGATTGACCTGTGGGCTTAGATGTTGGAAGATCGATGATGCCTCCAGCATAAAAGTTTGCCATTGTGCAATTTTTACAAAATTATGAAATTTCATAGATAAGTTAATTAATTTAGGCTTACAAAATGGTAACTTTTCTAATGAATCATTTCTTCTGCATTTATTGGAAGAACTTTTCCTTGTCAACTGTTTGGTAGCTCTGAAATGTTTGTTTTGTTTTTTTAATCACAAAGGCTGGGTAAAATGCTTAATTCTATCTCTTTACTTAATCAATTTGCAGATTAATGAATTGTTGCCCATACAGCCTCTAAACGTTTTTAAATTTATTTCTAAATTTTGTCTTAATTGTGGTTAAAAAAAGAAAACATAGATTAACCATCTTAACCATTTTGAACTCTACAGTTCAGTAGTGTTAAATATATTCACTTTGTTGTGCAACACATTTCTGAACTTTTTCATCACACAAAACTGATACTCTGTCTCCGTTAAGCAACACCCACTTTCCCCTCTCCCCAGGTCCCTGCAGCCACCATTCTGCTTTGTCTCTATGAATTTGACTGTTCTAGGCACCTCATACAAGTGTATCATACAGTGTTAGTCTTTTTCTAACTAGCTTATTTCACTTAGCATAGTGTTCTCAAGATTCATCCGTGTTGTAGGATCCATGACAGAATTTGCTTATGTATTGTATTATTTATTTTTAAATGAACAGTAGATTTGTATGTGCCTGCTGTGTTTCAGTTCATTGCACTCCTTGTTCTTTTTGGTGCTCAACTTGTCCCGTCTTTACCCAGGGAAAGCTGCTTCAATGTAGCCCCCTCCACCTCACCCCAGTCCTTGTCACACCTTCAGCATCCTTACACATTCTGAGAACCACCTGAGGATGGGTGTACTGAGCCTCAAGTTTGGCTCTAGAAAAAAGTCTTAAAATATTTTGCAGTGTTTGGGATATTTTCGTCAACAGAGAGAGTAGCCTGAGCCTCTGAGATCAGGCACCCCATTGTGAGGCTGACATCTAATTTCCCAGTTCCTATTTGCGTGTGTGCACATACACACACACACACACACACAGAGAGAGAGAGAGAGATAAAGATAGAGAGAGAGAGAGAGAGGGAGAGGGAGAGGGGGGGGGGAGAGTGCGACGGAGAGAGAGAGAGAGGGAGGGAGAGAGAGAGAGGGAGAGCATGTGAACAGACAAATTTATTCTGGCCCTTGAGAGATGGGTAGTCAGTCCCCAAGTGAGGGGTCTGCTTTGCAAGATGAGATGCCTTCATAGCTCCTGGTGCCCATGGGGACAGGCAGACAAGGCCCAGGGATGGGTGAGGGCCAGGCCATGCTAGGAATTTCAGAGCTCATCGCAAGATCCTTGGGAGACCCTGAGAGTGTGTGGGGACTATTGGCTCCCTAAAGATTCGCTGAAAAATCACTGGTGTGAAGACAGATGGATAAATAGGAGAAAATACATACACATTTACTTAACATGTATACACAGGAACCTTCAAAAGGAAGACTGCATTTCCTGCCTTGGACCATTAAGTATGTAAATAGCACAGTCTGGGTAGCAGTATAGGCTTGCTTTCTAACTTTCTCCAAATAGTATCTTAATTTTTTTAAATTGTGAATAGATCATAGTAAGAGTACAACAACAAAAAACTGTTGTTAGGATGGAAATGTGATCTATCTTTCTTAACCTCATTTAAAAGACTGACCATCAATGCAGTGATTCAAAACTGTGGCTGTATGTTAGGATCTGAGAGGTTTAACAAATCCCACTGACAGGCCACACCCTAGCTCAGTCTCACTAGACTCTGTAGGAGTGGCACTAGGCACCCAGATCTTGCAAAGCTCCCCAGGTGGTGCTGTGTGCAGCAAAAATTGAGAATGCTCATTTAGCCATGAAATCATAAGTAACATTATTTTTAAGTGGAAGAACAAATACTTGGACTCAAAATTTCCTTAGTCTGGAATCTATTAAGTTCTAGACTTTTCTGGGTGAACTCTCATCTACTAACGATGGAAGCCTTTAAAAATATGGGAATCCTATAAGTAATACAATACAACAAATCTGTAGTGCATCTCCTGTTTCTGTTTTATAGATCTGAGCCAGCACCGGATACAGACTTATTGAGGGAAAAATCAGGTCATCGTGCTGCCACCTCGAGAGAACCTAATAACTTGCTCAAAGAAGAGGTAGGTAGCTAAGCTGTCTGAGGTTTTCCCAGCCAAAGATGTGAACCAAGGGCAAGGTTAGTAAATTTGTGTTTTTTGTTTTTTTGAGTCAGAGTCTCACTGTCACCCAGAATGGAGTGCAGTGGCACACTCACAGCCAGCATTGGCCTGCTGGGCTCAGGTGATCCTTCGGCCTCAACCTTCCAAGTAGCTGCAACCACAGGAGCATGCTGCCACACCCAGCTAATTTTTTTATTTATTGTTAGAGACAAGGTCTTACCAAGTTGCCCAGGCTGATCTCGAAGCCCTGGGCTCAGGCAATCCTCTCACAGCCTACAAAAGTGCTGGGATTACAGGCTGAACCACCGTGCCCAGCCAATTTATGTTTTAAAAATAAGTCTCAAGGCCGGGCTCAATGGCTCAGCCTGTAATCCCAGCACTTTGGGAGGCCGAGGCAAGTGGATTGCCTGAGCCTGTGGGTTCAAGACCAGCCCAGGCAACTTGGCAAGACCTTGTCTCTACAATAAATAAAAAATTAACCAGGTATGGTAGCGTGCACCTGTAATTCTAGCTACTTGGAAGGCTGAGGTGGAAGAATTGCCAGAGCCCAGCAGGTCGACGCTGGGGTGGCCATGAGTGTGCCACTATACTCCAGCCTGGGCGACAGCGTAAGACTCCAACTCAAAAAATAAAATAAGTCTCAGGATGTACAGGCTATTCATTTGAGGAAATAGTTATGTTCTTTAAAATGATTAACGTACTTGAAAAAATAAGAAAAGTATAATGAGGTCTTGTGATTGGGCTCTTTGACTTTCTGATCTCAGGTCTTTTGCATAATGTTTTGTATAGGAATGTGACCCCCCGATGTGTTAATTTAGTTTCTGGAGGTTCATTAAACATGTCTACCGTAACATTTTCTGAGGAGTTTAGAGCATCTTATACCATCCTGATTTTCTGTCTGCACGCCATACTTTACAAATGCTATGCAGTCATTCACATCAATTCAACAAGTAAATATTGATCTGTTTTTGTACACAGGAACCTGTCCAGATCCATTGGAGGGAAAGACAGAAAGAGAATGTGGCCCCCTCCTTCTAGGACATGATAGTGGGATGTGTGTGACAAGAATGTGGCGAGAACACGGGCCTTCAGAAAAGGTAGCCAAGCCACCTGGAGAAGCCAGGAGGGCAGACTTCATGATGGAGGGAGCACAGGGGCATGAGGTGACCCTCGCATGTAGACAGATTGTGACAGGGTCCGAGTGGGGGAGGAGGACAGGGAAGGCTACTAGGAGCCGCACGGGAAGCATAGCACATGTTCAAGCAGTGCAGCTGCCTTTGTGGCCAAAATGTGGGCTCAAGGCTGGGGATGGTGAAAAAGTGCCCAGGAATAGTCATGGGCCCTATTGTGAGCATCTAGTCCAGACCAGGGAGCTTGAGTTTCATTTAGGAGATTTTGGAAACCTGCTGAAGTTTTCTGAGCAAGGTTATAATGAGATTTCTGTAGCATCTTAGGGAAGTTCATATTTGGTTTCAGCTGAGACGGCAGAGAAGGGAGCCCTGCCAAGGTTCAGGCAGACAAAGGGGGGCCTGATTGAGGAGCTGGTGCCCAGGGAAAGTTGGAACTTGCTTAACAGAAAACAGAAGCAGATGGAGCAAGTTCCCAAGGAAAGCATGTGAAGCATAAGCCCAAGTTTAGAGCGTCTCCTCTGGAGTGTCCCTCCTTCCTAGAAAAGCCACATTCAAGGAGACCGACTTTCTTCTCCTGTGTTGGACATCTTGGGAATGTGTCTTGTTTCAAAGCATGTTTTTTCATACTTATGCATCATATAGGATTTTTCAGCTTTGATTCTCTTTAGGTTTTTTAAATTATTACCATGCTCATAGTTTAAGGATTCTACATCCACCTCCTAGAGTGAAGCCTTGACACTCTATGTGGCCCAAAGTCCTTGGCAGTGCCCTCTAGCGTTCCAGGAGCCTTTAGTCCTCCTCAGGTCCCCTTTCCTTGCCCTCCATTTAAGCAGCAGAAAAACTTTAAAACATTTAAGGAATAGGATGAACCTACCAATCCCAGGCCCAAAACCCAACTTCACACGTTTTTACCATGACACCATCTTGCTTCAGACACCCTCGCTCTTCTCCACCTCTCCCTCATCTTCATGCCCCTCCTCAGCCTTCTTCTCTCCCCCATTTTTATGTCTCCTCTCCCTCCTTTTTTTCTTTCCTCTTTGTCTCTTCCCCTCTTCTGTCCCCTCTTCTTCTCCTCTAACCCCCTCATCTCTCTTTTTTGGGGGGGAGATAAATTATTTCAGATATAGATACAGCCCTTATATGTCTTTCACGATAGCTTTGTACGTACCCTTCCTGTGCATTTTCATTTTACTGCATTGTATGTGACTCAATAAATAACACAGAATTTTGTTCAAGGTGTGATACCATTTGCGTGAGTTTTTAAAACCATATGTTTTTTAGATCCACATCATCTCTGTTGATTAATGTGGATCTCAGAAGGGTATTGTTTTCAGGTTTTATTGTTCCTTTTATTGAGCACTATTTTGTAACAACATTGTTTTCCATGCTTGTTCACTGCAAGTACATCACATCCCTGCCATGTTAGGTATGAAATAAGTCGGCTGCCCTTTGCTATCTAATCTCCTTTTTTTAAAAAAGGGTATTGTTTATATTAGGAAATGTCCCAAACCAAAGCAACTAATTTATTCATATTTTTAAATAAAAGAGGGGGGTGAGCTGCCCACCTAATAACTAATGACTTATATTAGATCTTTTGCCTCCCCAATAGGCCTTTTTTTCTTTTTAGCATCATCATGATCTCATTTTAGTGATAATCATAAAAATCACCATAAAGTAATGAGAAAGTCTATTCTCAAAGTGGAAGTAAACAGGCAGTTTCTCAAATACCTAGGTTGTGACTGAAGCAATGCACAGCCCTAAAGAGCAGTGTCGCCAAATGACTTGAGTGAGGCAAGCCTCGGGAACTCAAGGACAAAGTGCTTCTGTGGGCCTGGAACTGTTTTGGTTCATGCATCATCCTTTCACAATTAGCAGAAGTGTCCTTGCATTGTTTCTATGTATTGAAACAGTGTGCACATCTAGTAAAAACTATGGGCTAAATATATCTCTTTAGATAAGATTTTAAAAGGAAGTGATTTTAAAATTTAAGAAAACTCTACTAGAGATGACTTGGTTAAGAGTCTAATGAAACTTGGAAATATTTACTTTGATCTCTTGGGTAAATGGCTAATTAAACAGCCACATGTAAATAATGTTTACCTGCGGGTCCCAGTGCTGTCAGCTGGAGTCAATCCCTTCTCTTGAGTAAATACATTGTGAAAGCCACAGAAACTCAGAGTATGTCCCCTTGAGACCAGATAAGGTACACAGTGCCTGCATAACCTATTAGGCAATCACATGATTGAGCTGCATGCTTTTAAGTCAGACATGTTTGTAATCGCTTTATGTGGGGGAAAGTGAGTTGGGTGCTTCATTAAAACACAAAGTGCCTTAATATTCCTTTTCTCCCAAGTGAGGTCTGTGTCCACCCGGGAGGACTTTGTCACAGCAGAGTAGCTTGCTGGTGACATTCATAGAGTAGGGCGGGCCTGTCCCCCACTATCCATATACCAGTTTTATTCACCAAGGGGACTTTTTCCCTAAATGATAGGCTGTTTGTTTGTTCTTGTCTCTTGAATACTCATTTGCTGGTTCATGTGAATATTTTCCCCTTCATCTCCTTTAACTGAGATATGTCCTAAGTGATTATGCTTGCATTTCTCTTTAAGCACTCTTGAATATTTAGGGCTAGCATATGTTTTCTTTAAAAATAAAAATAAAAAGTCTGACTTGGAAATAGTGAGGTAAACAAAAAGAAAAAAGAAAATTGGCCATTATCCTACTATCTGCTATTCATATATAACACTGTTAACACTGTGGTGTGTGGTTTTCACTATTTACTATGTTGACAGGTTTGGGTTGCACTGTTTGTGTACATAACCTCATGTTCTTCTACTTGTCACAAAGTGAGCCTCCTTCATTCTATCATGTGCTCTTCAACACCATTTCGAATAACCTTACCGAGGTCCCCTGTCTACTGTCTCTTTAACCAGTTGCCTGTTGTTCAATATTTAAGTTGTTTCTAATATTTCCTCTAGTAAAAAAAAAGTTTCAAAGAACAGATGTGCAATTTAATTGTTACAAATATCCATGATATTTCCTTAGAATGAATTCCTAGATATAGATTTATTAGGTCAAAAGATATGTCTCTTTCTCAGGCTTTTGCTATGCATTACCAGGTCTCACTCTGGAAGGGTCACCAGAGTTACCAATAATAGATGAAAATAGCATTTCTCTAAGTTCTTTATGAACCTAAATACTATCAACTTTTTCTTTTGGGAGCATCAATTTGAGAGGTGAAGATGACAGCCAATTTTTTTTGTTCATTTGACCTTTTTATTACAATTGAGGTCAGACTTTTTCCAACCTATTTGTTAGCCATTTGTATTTCATGTTTTATAATTTGCCAGTTCATGTTCTTTGCTCATTTTTCTATTAGCTTAGTAATATTTTTTCTTATTGACTTACAAGAACTCTTTTCATATAAATTTGTACATTTTGTTATAGTATTTTTAGCATTTTACTTTTGTCTTTTTTTAAATGCTTACAATGTCTTTTCCATTAGTATCTTCATCTGTCTATGTATGTGAATATCGCAATGGATACATTTCTGGATATAAATTAACCTAGATGATTCTTGGGGTTCTAGACATTCACAGGATTCATATTTAAACTGAACATTGAGGAAAATTCGAGTGGAATTGAGCTAATAATTCAAGGAATAGTAATTCAAGTGTAATTAATAGAATGTTTTATCTGCCATAAGATCTGAAATACGGAGGTGTCAATATCAGTTATTCTGCAAATGGCATGTGCCCTGCCATTTAACTTTCAGGCCCTTTCTCCTGGCTCCTGGGAATGCTGAAAAGTGAGGAACTAGTTTGTTGCTATTGACCTAGGCTGCAGACTGCAGAAAACAGTAGAATAATCTCCAATTTTCCCTCTTGGGCTCCAAATGTGTTTGACTCTAAGAGAGCCTTTATCAGCAACAGGTAAGTTAATAGCCACAGGGGTCCATTCCTAACACCTTCAGATGGCACATGGTCAAACTGCTGTCAGGTGGCATTTTCAGAGAATAAGCTCCCATTTGCAGAACCCATTTGGTCCCAGCATGAGATCTGTAAACAACCTGCTAACTCTTCTCTGGGCATTTGTCTCTTTGCAGGTCTGGGTTAGTGTCATCAGTCTACCTTCAAATTGGGGGTTTCCTTAGAAATACGCCTTTCTGGAATATCTACAAACAGAACATCTTGACTGTCTATTACAGGTTTTCTTTCTTGACTTTGCAGCAGTTGTTTCAGACTTTGCCCAGTCTTTGTCTGAGGCTGTCCCTGCTTCCCATGTTCCTCTGCTTGTTAGTGGATTCCCTGACAGAGGACTCGTTGGGCAGAGGCTCTCTCTCTCATTGGCTCCATGGCTCAGTAGGATCAAACCAATCCTTCTCATATGTAACTTGAGTATCCACCAAAATCTCCGTAGATACAAAATACTCATTTCTGGAAATTATCTATAAAATTCTCCTAAAGGATAAGTTGTTTAATAAATGATACTATCAAAAAAGTAACAGAAATCCTGGAGATGAGTTTTGAGTGGTAAAAATCAATGAGATACAATACAGAGAGTCCCCAGCTTACAACACAAGTGAGACGCGGCAGTAGAGTTGTGCTTGAAGTTCCCATACAACCACTCTGGCTTTCACTTTTAGTGCAGTATTCATTACATTACATGAGATATTCAACACCTGATTATGAAATAGGCCTTAGGTGGTTTTAAAATAGTAGGCTAATAATGTAAGTGTTCTGAGCACTTTAAGTTAGGCTAAGCTAAGCTTTGATGTTCAGTGGGTTAGGTGTGTTAGATACATTTTTGACTTAATGATGTTTTCAACTTACAAAGCGCTTTTTGGGTCATATGTACTCCTCAGAAGTCAAGGAGCATCTGTATATGAAGTAAACAGTGCAGTGTGCCCATCACATGACTTACCAATGAGAAGGGGCCTCGGCACAGAGCTGGTGGCCATGGTGCTGTTCTTAGCAAGCATACGAGAACTTACTAGAAGGCTGTTTGAGCGTTATAGTATCTTATTCTGTGTCCTTTTGAAACCCCGTTGGAACCTGTCTAAAGCAAAAGGGGGCCTGATGTGAAAAAGATGCATGCAACAGAGATAGGATGTGTGTCCTCCCTGAGGAACCAGGGAAAGGCAATGTGAGTCACTGGCAATCCAAGGTGGTTCCAGTATTCAGGAAGGAAAGGAGTATAAAGTTGTTTATTTTAACTTGCCCCAAAACCTAACTCTTTCTATTATCTGCAAACTCTAGAGAGAAAATACAGAAAACTTCAACAGTCCTTTAACAATAAGATCCTTAAAACAGTGGCTACTATGAGGTCATGTCAAGAAGGCATTAGTATCCCCTTTCTCCCAACTGCAGAAGGGATACTGAGCAGGTCATCCCAGCACAGAATTATCACAGCTGGAGTGAAATCCAGGGACTGGTTTATAGAAATAGAGGAAAAGCCCCTGGTCGCTAGAACTGGACCACAAAAGGTCCTGACTGCAAAGCTAACTCGACACCAGGTTTTTTGACCAAGGAGACTAGAACTCCTTAAGGCCCTCAAAATCAGTTGTTCCAGCTCCCAGGCTAGGCCATGGGTCCAGGAGGTCAGCTAGTCCTAAAGAGGGCAGAGGACAAGAACTTGGCAGAAATCTGAGGACTGAAGGTTGTTGCCTTGAAGTGTCTTAAAAGCCAAACACGTGAGATGAGATCTTCCATGCTCTGCTTCAGTGATTCTCCCTGTTCAAGCATCCTCACCTTCTTCCGTGTCAACCACGAGGGAAGGGTGTTTTCTCCCCTTTGGGGGATAATTGCAATGCTATCACTTCCCTCTTGGGCTAAACATGAGTTGTGAGGCTTTGTACAGTTCTACCCTTCATATTAGCTTTTATGATCTCATGTCTACTTCCCACAGGTTGGATTGGACACTGCCCTGTTTCACTAACATTGTCAGAGAGCAGTGGGTTCTCACCATTGCCACCACCAAGGCTTCTTCTCCAACTGCCTGAGCAAATTGCCACTTCTCAGTAGGAAGCGAGAGAGAAATGTACACTCTGACGGTGGGACCATGTGAATCAGTGGTTGTCTACTAGAAGTTCAGCTCTTGTTACCAGCACCTTTTTATTTACTGGGGGGAAAGTACCAACCTGGAGGTTCAGAGCCATGTTTCAGGGAATTGCCACTTTTTCTCCACCTCTCAAGTTGACTTGATAAAATCTGTGTCCTCCTCCTTGCCCAGAACACATGAGATAATATAAGTAAGACAGTCGGTGCCCTTTGAAAAGAGAGAAGCACCGGGCTCTGTGGCTCAGCCTGTAATCCCACGCTTTGGGAGGCTGAGGTGAGTGGATTGCCTGAGCCCGCGGGTTCGAGACCCGCCTGGGCAACTTGGTGAGACCTCATCTCTACAATAAATAAAAAAATCAGCCGGGCATGGTAGCGCGTGCCTGTAATTCTGGCTACTTGGAAGGCTGAGGCGGAAGGATCGCTGGAGCCCAGCAGGTCAAGGCTGCAGTGGCCGGGAGCGGCTACTGCACTCCAGTCTGGGTGACAGAGTGAGACTCCAACTCAAAAAAAAAAAAAAAGAGAGAGAGGCAGTGTAGTGGGTGAGTTTCCCAGTTCCCCAGCAGACTTACAGGTGAAGTGCAGGGTATCTTCCTCCTCGATTGAAAATCGGGATTTAGAATAAGGTCAATTGTCTTTTTGCTAAGTACATCCTACTCAACCACATATTTTTCTGTAATTGTCTCATATGTGGGAAGCTCAAGGGTCGTTTCTAGGAGGATGGGGATGTTACAAGGTTATATTTTTCCAGATCTCATTCTCAGTCTAAACTAAGTCTGTCTTACATGCCTAGACAACAGAATTCATGCAATAAAAGAGTACGTTTTTCTTCAGAAAGGAGGTCTGGGACTCTGTCTTTTGTGTGTGTCAAAGGACAAACCAGTTCAGATTAACAGAGGAGATCACAGTTCATCTCCATACTTAACAAATAGAAAAACATTTCTGCATTACATGAGATTCAGTCCTCAAAAAATATATATTATTGTGAGGGTAAATTGTTGTAAAAGAAAAAAAACAAGTTATAATGGAAAATAATCAGATGTTATTTTATCTTGACAACATTTTAATTTCAGTTGAATGTCAGGAAGCAAATTAAACCCTCAGTAAAGTTTAACTTAAAATTATGTTTGAAGGCTGAGTCTTTGAGACCAAGGGAACGTGGCTACAGTTTGTTTTTTCTTTGTGCTTTTTGAAAAACACTGTAGGTAACATCATTATTGAAAACAACCCTTGCAGAGAAGCCTGAGGATGTGTCAGCTGTTCACGGTGCTGAATCGTCCCTCAGCTTGCCGCCTATTCTGCATGAGGAGAGCGGGATAAAGAAAGCCATGCTCGGGCCACGGCTGGACCGCGTTCCTCCAGGGGAACAAGGTAGCTATTGTTCAAGGGTCTGTCCACAGCAAAAAGGCATTCAGCATCGACTCAACATGCTCGCTCCCAAGGTGCACCTGGAAGACACTGCTGACTACAGAGCACCTCTGATTTGAATATGCATAGCATGCTTTTGTTTTACACCAGCTTCCAATAAGTATCTGTGTTCCCCTTCAGTTAACAGGAATGGGAAGCCAAATTGTAGGTCAGTTGTTCTACTGAATTTCCAATAAAATAAGCAGAAATTGTGAAATCTTAACAAAACAAATTTCTCAGCAGTAGATAATTTTGATTCCACAAACATGAAGACATTTATTAAAATGATTTCATAAGGTACTGTGAAGTGTTTTATATCACTGAATAGAATTTACTCATCATTTCAAACATAACTTTTAGTTGTACTAGAACCTTATCAAACTTTAAACAGATGATTAGAATCAATGAATTTCTATCCCCAAAATTTATATTGTGATCATTTTAGCATCACTGTTAAAACATGCCAGTAAACTACTTTAAATGGTATTTCCAAGACAGCTGTGAGTTGCTCAGGAAGTATTCAGAAGTCAGTACACATGTGCAGGATTTGAGGCTCACTCGTTTTAAGTCCCACCCTAATTTGATAGATGTCATGCTAAATTGTTTTGCATAAAAGCAACATAGAGATACCTTAATTTTAGAATAGGTTTCCTTTTAGGAGCAATATTTAAACTAGCCAAAAAAAAAAAAAGGAGGTGGGGAGGCAATGAAAATAAAAGGAATGGCAGTTAAAAAAAAACCCGAACAAAAAAAAACCTCGAGCAAAGATCTGTTCCTTAACTTTGAAATACATTTTTATTGTTAGGCATTCCATTTTTAGAAGTTTTGAGCAGCAGTGAAGACAAGAGCAAGGAAGAAAACGTGGCTGCAGAGGTTCCAATCACAGGTAAAACTATGGTTGCCCAAGAGTTTCAAACACAGGATTCAACCTTATTATGTCATCATAACATTCTAGGTCAGTGGCTTGTGGACCCCACTAAGAGCAAGTGTATTTAACTATATGAGCAGGAGATTCATCATAGAAGCAGAACGCACATGCTTATTGTTAAGTCACACTCCCAGCAGGGGTCTCCAGAGTGTTAGGTCAGGCCCGCTGGGGGTGTTGGTGTCTGGGGTGTATCCAGTGCCACATGAAAGATGCAAAGAATTGCACAGAAGTTAGATTAGGAAATATAATTTATTTAAAAGGTAAATTAGAAAGAGAGGGAATGAGAGAGAGAGAGAGAGGATTCACCTCTCAAAGGTAGGAGGGGAGCCAGAGCTTAGGATACATGGTAGCAGCCACAGCTCAAAGAACACATGGTCACACCAGAGTCTAGTAAAGCAATGGTGACTGGCTGCTCTTGGATGAGTCCTTTTAATCCTTCCCTTTGATGGAGGAAGGCCGTTAAGTTGATTAGTAGTGGTATGTTCTACATCATCAAACAGGGGCAGGTAAGTACAGGTTCTAACGTCAGGTGATGGACAACAGGCAGATGGGTGGGTTAGTCACAGGATTGCTGCCATGTTGATGGGGTCTGTTTGTCAAGTAGGTCACCAAGGGCTGATTAGGTTAACTTGGGTCTTATGGGTAGAGAGAAATACTTAAAATAGAAAAGCTAATTAGTACAAAACAAGCTGGGAAGGGAGATTGAAAAGCAATTATTAATGGCTACCTCTGAGAAACTTGCTCTATCCTTGGCTAGTGATTAGAGGGTAAGTTAAGTTTACTGTGAGAAAAACATGAGATTTAGGCAATGTTAAAATGACTGCTTATTGGGTATATTAAATCCATGTTATGTTCTTTCATTGGTATATTAAATCCATGTTATATCCTTTCACTTATGTTTTTGTTTTTTTGGCTTGAAAGGATTTTATTAATTCTTTTGAGTTTTTAAAAATTATATATTTTGCTGGGCTTGGTGGCTCAGCCTGTAATCCCGCACCTTTGGGAGGCTGAGGTGAGTGGATTGCCTGAGCCACGGGTTCGAGACCC